TCAGAACGACTTCCTGTTGTCTCAGAACGACTTCCTGTTGTCTCAGAATGACTTCCTGTTGTCTCAGAACGACTTCCTGTTGTCTCAGAACGACTTCCTGTTGTCTCAGAATGACTTCCTGTTGTCTCAGAACGACTTCCTGTTGTCTCAGATTGACTTCCTGTTGTCTCAGAATGACTTCCTGTTGTCTCTCAGCTGTAGTGGCACCTCCATGCAGACAGGGGGACATGTTTCCAGAGGCGGTGGTGTCCCCGGCGGTGGCGAGCAGCGGGATCCTGCGTGTCCCTGGCGTGGCTTCTCTGTCTCAGTGCGTGGCGGCGGGCTGCGACCTGCCCGGGTTCGACCTGGCCTGGTTCTTCAGGGGCCACTGCTACATCCTGAGCTGCCAGCAGGAGTCGGACTGTCGGCCCCGGGTCCGGCCCGGCTCAGACTCAGTTCTGGCCTTCCTTCATAGGGCGTCGCCTCAGTCGCTGCTGCAGTCTCTGGTGGGAGGAAAACCGTACGGCGACCACTGGGGGCCCCGAGGGGACCTGGACCCACTGAAAGACTTGGCCCTGTTTGATGGGCAGGATCTCTTGGATCCAGGACAGCAGGAGTACTCAGAGAGAAACCAGGATGAGGGTCAGGCTCCAGACGGGTTCAACCAATCAGAACCAGAGGGCGGTTCTGAGACGACCTGGATCAGTCCAACTTCTGAGAGGTTAACGAGTCCAGTAGATGAGAACAGAACCAGAACCTCAGCTGGACCTGTGGCTGCAGAGCAGACAGTGAGCCTGAGATTTAGTGATTATAAATTAATTAATTTTATCAAGAAATAAAAAAACAGTTATTAATATAATTATATTATATTATGTTTAATTTTATTTAATTTTACAGACAGGACCTCAGAACAGAACCCTTTCTACAGCAGCTGCCACTGACTCCGCCCCTTCAGATCATGACATCATCACCACCACAGTGACATCATGTAGGAGGAGCTAAACTGTTCATTTAGTAAAACATGTACAGTGTCAGTGTGAGCTCAGAAGCACAGGTGAGTTCTGCAGGTTGATGTTTACGGCTCCTTCTCTGCAGCTCAGCCCCTGAGGTCGTCTGTGGGAAACCCTGCAGCTGTGACCTCTGGAGAACCACTGGGTCCATCTGCAGAGTGGACCCAGCACCAACCAGGTCCATGAGGTTCTGCTGCAGGTTCTGCTGCAGGTTCTGCTGCAGGTTCTGCTTCCTGATGAAACAAATTAAACACCTGCTTCTGTTTCAGACCAGGTAAAGTTCCTTCAGAACCAAACATCCACTGTCGCCCCCCTGCTTCAGGACGTGACCTCTGACCCCGCCCACACCTGCCCACCTGCTGCTGCTGCTGCAGGTACAGCTGTTTTCAGAGGTAAACAGACTCTTTAGCTGTTTTCATCATCATCATCATCATCATCATTTATTTATAAAGCACATTAAAAACCAAAGTGCTGTACAGGAGCACAAAATAAAAACAATGAATAAAGTACAGTAATAAAATGAAGAATAAAATGAACCAAAACAAAGGCTGGCCTAATGATCCTGCTCTTCAGACTCTTCAGCCTGTTTAAACAGATGAGTTTTTAACAGAGACTTAAACTCATTCAGAGACCCAGCAGACCTCACAGACAGTGGGAGGTTGTTCCAGAGCCGAGGTCCTGCAYCTGAAAAGGCTCTGTCTCCCCTGATCACAAGCCCAGACCTGGGAACAACTAAAAGCTTTAGATTTACAGATCTCAGGATCTGTTTGGAATGTGAGGCTGTAAAAGCTCAGTGAGATAATGAGGTGCCAAACCATTTAGACATTTAAAAACTAAAAACAAAATCTTAAAAACAATTCTAAAAGAAACAGCCAACCAGTGAAGAGAATACAGAATTGGAGTGATGTGTTGGTGACGTCTTGTCCCTGTTAATAAACGGGCAGCTGAGTTCTGAACCAGCTGTAGACGACGAACCAAAGACTGATCCATCCCACAATAAAGAGAGTTGCAGTAGTCCAGTCTAGAAGTGATAAAAGCATGAATTACCCTATCAAGGGCATTATGAGGAAGGTAATCCTTGAGTCTCAGATGATAAAAACTAGACTGGACTACTGCAACTCTCTTTATTGTGGGATGGATCAGTCTTTGGTTCGTCGTCTACAGCTGGCTCAGAACTCAGCTGCCCGTTTATTAACAGGGACAAGACG